GGATTAACCTAGTTGTTTCCTATTCTCTCATTCATCTATCGATCCATCGAACAAAGAGTTAGAAAAAAATGCAATTTTTTTTCTGGACAGCAACACACACAAACACGCGCACACAAAGCAAGAGGCATATTACCAAGTCCATCTGTAGAGTAGATGTTAGTATTGAAAAGCCCTTGGCCACCCAATTTACCCCATAGCGCTAAAGGTAAGAAATTTAGGAAGAAGAGCGGGACTCTGCATCAGCTTAGATCCAAGCTCCAACCTCAAAGCAAAGGGAAACTGCACAGGAAATCAATTTCCTTTTGAGATGGAACTTTTTAATAACCCAAGATCAATTATCTGTGGTAAATAAAATTAAAGAAGCGAAGAAAAGCACAGGGACGCTATATAATAGAAGAGGAAAAACCTAAACCAGTCTTAACAAAATTGGCAGAGAATCTAGCTGTTTTGAATGTTTTGAATGCAATATCCCAAATTTCCAAACAACGAGGAGGGTAACGGCTTGGTGAAGCGTCTCCTAAATATTTCATGAAAAGAACATTAATTTCCTAGATAATATTTTAAAAACTCCTCTCCAGTTGGCGCTAAAGGGGCTCCTTATGCTAATGTTTTGTACATATATAATTAAAAATAATATACAGGTAAGGATGGTCTTTTGGGGAGGGACAGGACAGGCTTGTGAAGTAAAATGTGGAATGTTTAAGTATATACTGTAAGGGCACAACATTCTCTTGGGGGAAATGCATTCCAAAACCACTTTCCAATTGCTCTTTGCTAGCTGATCAGCTGGCAATAGTGGCCTTCAGAGACCTATAAAAAGTTTCTTTCACAGCCTGCAATTGCTGTCAGTCACCTGGGATGAAGCAAAATGTGTAGAAACATTTCAGGAAAGCAGGAAAGTGAGGATAATTATATCATTCATTATCAGATATTTGAACAGATGATTATCAATGTAAGAAAAGTCTTCCAGGATCAGGCCAGGGCACATTTTAACCAGCACCAATTACCTCTGAACCCCAAGGCATACTGATGTTTTCCCCACAACTGGCATTAAACGAACCAAGTTTTTAATTTAAGCTTTGAATTTATGAATTCATAAATTTATCTAATTTATCTGATCTCCGTGAATTTATCTGATCTGTTAAAAATTATGCAAGTCATCCTTGTAAATTGGCCCTAGCCCTATTCTCTCAAGCAATAGACAAAGTTTGCTCCTTCTTCTGTATGAAAGCTCTTCAGATATTTGAAAGTTGCAATAATGTCTCTTAGTCATCTTATTTGTAGGCTGAACATACCCAGATCCTCTCCATTCCCTACAATCATTCCTGAACATACTTGATTTTAGACACTTCACCATCTTGATAGACCTTCAAAATTTATCCAGTATGTCACTGTCCCTTTGAAAGTGATGTTTTAAAATTGGTTTTAAAAGTTTGGGGTTTTAAATTTGTCGGGGGCCAAAATTATTTAATTTGATTTTATTCTACTTTTAAATTTTGTATGTATGTGTTTTATTGTTTGGCTGTGCACCGCCCTGAGTCCTTTGGGAGTAGGGCAGTATAGAAATAAAATAAAATAAAATAAAATAAAATAAAATAAAATAAAATAAAATAAAATAAAAAAAATAAAATAAAATAAAATAAAATAAAATAATAAAATAAATAAAATAAAATAAAATAATAAAAGAAAAGAAAATAAAAGAAAAGAAAATAAAAGAAAATAAAATAAAAGTGCCCAGAAGTAAATACAATTCTACACAAAGATCTCATCTAGGCAAAGTACTGTGGGAATGGGGGAAACCAGGCTTTGCAGTAGTATATGTGAAATAGTCCTTATCAGTTATAAGTTCAACATGAGACAGCATGTTGCAGGAATTGGGTATGCCTAGTGTAATGAAAAGAAGGACCGGGGTGACATGATAGCAGTGTTCCAATATCTCAGGAGCTGCCACAAAGAAGAGGGAGTCAAGCTATTCTCCAAAGCACCTGAAGTCAGGACAAGAAGCAATGCGTGGAAATCAAGGAGAGAAGCTTAGAACTAAGGAGAAATTTCCTGACAGTTAACAATTACAGTAATCAGTGGAACAACTTGCCTCCAGAAGTTGTGAATGCTCCAACACTGGAAGTTTTTAAGAAGATATTGATAACCATTTGCCTGAAGTGGTGTAGGGTTTCCTGCCTAGGCAGGGGGTTGGACTAGAAGACCTCCAAGGTCCCTCGCAACTCTGTTATTCTGTATTCAGCAACGTAATGTTAAAAAGGCAAATGCTAACTTGGAGTCCATTAATAGGAGCACAGAGAATACAGATAGTCCTTGACTTACAACCACAATGAAACCCAAAATTTCTGTTGCTAAGCGAGACAATGGCTAAGTGAGTTTTGCCTCCTTTTATGGCATTTCTTGCCACAGTTGTGAAGTGAATCATTGCAGTTATTAGGTTAGTAACAGGGTTGTTATGTGAATCTGGTTTTCCCATTGATTTTGCTTGTCAGAAAGTCGTAAAAGAGAATCAAGTGACCCAGGAACAGTGCACCCATCATAAATATGAGTCAGTTGTCAAGTGTCTGAATTTTCATCACATAACCATGGGGATGCTGCAGTGGTCGTAAGTGTGAAAAATGGTCATAAGTCACTTTTTTCAGTATGATTGAAACTTAAATGGTCACCAAATGAACTGTTGTAAATTGAGGATTTCCTGTAGAACATGGGAAGTAATTTTTTCCCACTGTACTCTGCTTAGATGAGATTCTTCTGTAGAACTGTGTCTGGTTTTGGGCACATCACTTTCAAAGAGATAGTGACATATTGGAGACATTTCAAAGATGGACTACCAAGATGGTGAAGTGTCTAAAATCAAGTCTGATCAGGAATGATTGTCAGGAATGGAAAGGATCTGAGTATGTTCAGCCCAAAAATAAAATGACTGAGTGACAGATTATAGCAATCTTCAAATATCTGAAGAGCTTTCATACAGGAGGAGGAGAGGACATTCTCTATTACTTGAGAGAATAGAGCTAGAATCAATTTACAAGGATCTGAAGCTAGACTTTAAGAGGAACTTTAACTTTTAAGAGCTATGTGAACTGTCAGCCAGCGGAAGAGACTGTCATATGAAGAAGTATGTTCTTCATTGGAGATCTTCATTCAGAGATTCTCTAGTAGATTCTGTACCAAAGAGGAAATTGAAATTCTATCATTTTGTTAAAAATATTAAGATAGGCTTGGGGTTTAATCACTGTGTTCTCATATTTATTGTATCATTTATGTGCTTATTTGTGCAACTGGGTGAATTGACACATTTGTGTAAAGGGCAGAAGGAATAACCTTGATGAAGAGTAGGAAGAACTGCAATCAAGACCACAGTGAAATAAAAGAAATCTGGGACAGATATGAACCCAGGTAAGCATCCCAGACAAGACCTTCCTGTTTTTCACCAAAGGGAAGGAGGGGAAAGTGCATTTGGGCTTGCAAGACTGTTGTTATAACCTTATCATGAAACTAGTATTCAGTCTGATTTCCTAGTCTGGTCTACCTTGAAGGGTTGAAATTTTGTCTCGTAGATGAGTCTTATGTTAGAAGGCAAGTGAAACAGAAGGGCTTTTAATTTCATGCAATGGAATCTAATATAGAATTCATTATCACAATGAAAGATCTATACTAGCATAATACTAAGCTATGGTTTACCATCAGTAGAACAAACAGAACCCAGTCTCAGGACTACTCCTTTCTCATCCTGTGTGGCCATAAAGACAGGACATTAAGCCAGTCTGAAGTCTGAACCTAGAACACTCTGATTAGTTTCCAATGACTGTTCATTAACAGCCCAAGGGCAAACCATGTTTTAAACCAGACATAGCAATCTAGTGCTTGGGCACATATTTTGAACTCCAATTCCAATAATAGCAATAGGACTTAGAGCTATATAATGCTTCACAGTGCTTTACAGCCCTCTCTAAGTGGCTTACAAAGTCAGCATATTGCCCCCAATAATCTGGGTCCTCATTTTACTGACCTTGGAAGGATGGAAGGCTGAGTCAACCTTGAACCAGTGAGAATGGAATTACTGGCAGTCAGCAGAATTAGCATTCTAACCATATTGCATTCTAACCACTGTGCCACCACAGTTCAGAAGAAGGGTTTTTCTAATTTAATTCCTGACTACAGCCTGAAGCTGAAATTGTTAACCCAAAATATTTGGTTGACATCACTTTGGGTTCTTTGACTTTCCTTCTTTTTAACTAGTTAATATTCCAACTCTCATTTGATGAATTAATGTTTAGTTAAATTAAAAGAGGACACAGGAGTTCTTGATTTTTGTCTGACTAAATAGGAGCAAACAGACTTGCACCTGCCCTTTCATTTAGTGTTAAACCTAAGGTTATATCTGAAATGAGCAAGGAAATCCCATCATTGCATAGCTGACTAAGATTTTTATCCAAATGGGTTTCATAAAATTGCAACATACCACTGACTATAGTACACATGCCTTCTTATCTAAGGCCATGAATAGGGGTGAGATCCTACTGGCTTAACAAGTGGTTCGCTAAACTCGCACAGTTTGGAGAAAACTCACTTTCTGCATTGCTGCCAGCAAGGAAAACAGCTGAGGTAAGGCAATCCACTCTGCCACCCCGATCAGTTGGGCTTCGGAAACGGAAATATAGGTGAGTATAACACAGGGACGGGTGGGCGGGCCCACCTCAAAATCGGAGTGAATCGGTTCGCTCACGGCTGATAGTCAAAGCTAATGGTTCGCCTGAACCGGTCCGAACCAGTAAAATCCAACCACTGGCTACAAATGAACTGGCCCTAAGTTCATGAAGACTTTTTGTCCAAGACCAGCACTTTCAGGAAGGAACGCATGGATAAAAACAAGGCCTATCCCTTTGCCTCAGAGGTATAAGAATGAGTCTAGGTCAATGCAGAATTTCACTAGAGAAATGATCAAGATACACGCAGTAGAACTGTGGGAAGTCTTGGATGGCCACAAAATGACTTACACTGCACATCTACTCGAATGGACTTGATGGCAGGGACCCCAACCCCATTCTCTGCTTTACAGTAATAACGACCCCCCTGAAGCCTGTGGATCTTCTCAATCAGAAGGGTCTCATTCAACACCGATGTCTCCTGGAATTTGTCCGAGGCGCTGCCAGCAGTTTTGGTCCACCTCACCTAGAGGAGGGGAAGGAGAAAAACAGAGAGAAATAAAGCATAGGAAACAAGCAAACTTTGATCTGGGCCCTGGGCCCATCAGAGCAAGCAATTATGTATTTGAAATGCTTTTAGGCTGCTTATCATGCTATGCATCTTCAGGCAATATGTATATTATGCAACTGTACACACAGTGTACCATTCAATATACAACCTTCCAAACAATTAAAAATATATAAAAATGAACAATGTGCTAAATGCCAGAGCGAATATCAATGTCAGGCTTCCTCCAGACTGATACTCAAAACTAGAAGGCTGGCAGGGCACAGCCTTTGATCATCTAGTTTTATTAGATATTTGAAAAGCTATCATTAGAACAGAAAACTAGTAACTGCTAAGCACATCCCATAAACCAAGTAGATAACAGTTCTCAAATGCCAGTCTTATCTCTCTTTCTCCTGCTGTTGTGTCCTAATTGATGGAGAGCTGGTTGTTTATCTGTAGATTTATCGATAAGTGATATAGGTAGTCCTCGACTTATGACCACAATTGAGGCCAAAGTTTTCAGCAAGACAGTTGTTAAATGCCTCATTTTATTGATTGATTGATTGATTGCCACAGTTGTTAAATGAATCACTGCAGTTGTTAAGCCAATTTGGCTTCCCCCATTGAGTTTGTTTGTCAGAAGCCAGCTGAGAAGGTTACAAATGTTAATCACATGACCATGGGACAGTGCAACTGTCATAAATACATGCTAATTGTCAAACTCCCGAATTTTGATTACATGACCATTGGGATGTTGCAACGGTTGTTGATGTAAAATCATAAGTCACTTTTTCAAGTGCTGTTGTAGCTTCAAATGGCCACTAAATGAATGATTATAAATCAAAGATATTTCTGCTTTGTTGCTATAATACACCTCTAGACCTAAGATTTCTGCATCTGATCTCAGTCCTTCTGTCCTTCATAAAAAATGTTTTTGGCATGCATCTAAATCAACATGAAATTGGCATATGTTTTATGTCTCACATCAGTTTTCCACACAATCTGAATCAATCTTTTGACTTCACACTTGGATGTTAAAAAAAATATTGCCCCAAATATCGTGTTTCCCTGAAAATAAGACCAGGTCTTATATTAATTTTTGCTACAAAACACACATTAGGGCTTATTTTCTGGTTAGCTCTTATTTTGGGGGACATATAATACAAAATGCCTCCATCTGGCTGATTATCTTAACTGGGGCTTATTTTAGGGGTAGGGATTATATTACGAGCATCCAGAAAAATCATGCTAGGGCTTATTTTCTGGTTGGGTCTTATTTTCAGGGAAACACGATAGGATCTTACTTTTTGCCAATAAAGAGCACTCTCTTGATAACTCTAGAGATTCCAGAGATATTAGCAGTAACTCCTGCTATTTTGCTTTTGGTTAGCAATCACCGTGTGCTTCGGAAGCCACATTTGCATAGCTGCATCAGGGCTAATTGGGATCATCACATTTCTGAACAGAGTAAGTTTCAGTCAATTCTCTCTAGACCCTGAGAATCCTGAAATGGTTAGTTTTCACAAGTAGGAGATGCAGACCCACTATGTTGCTTCCTCTCTCTTAATTAATCTTCCCAGGATGTTTGTTTATGCCTCTGTTTGAATACAACAATTTTATTTATTTTATTCTCTGAGTGCTCTGGGCAGTGAATGAATGACTTGCAGAGATGAAAAGGGTAAAGCAGTAGAAATGGATTGTAAAAATTTCAGAACTTGCAGAAGCGGCCGGAGAAAAAAACACAATCAAAACCTTTTTTTTTTTTGAAAGACTGAAAACCTTATATGGAAATTTCTGCTAAAAGAAGAAAGAAATTACATGATGATTTATGGATTTGAAGATTAAGTGAGGGCTGAAGGGATTTGTATAACATCTTAGGGATAGGGATAATGAAACTGCAATTGAAAAGAAGATCAGAAGTCATTTACTGTATATATTTATTAATTTCAATTTCTTCCTCTTTTATTTTTGCACTTTCTCATTCCTTTTCAATTTGTATTTTATTTTATGGGGGAAATTATGTAATAAATATATAAAAAGAAAAGGGTAAGGCAATAGAATATATTAAGGAAAGGAACAGCACACACTGCAATCATTCAAATTTTTCCCATTTAGAAAGGGGTCTACTTTGGCATCCCAGAAGCACAACTATAGGTGGGCAGGCAGAAAGAAATGGGTTAATCAGCTAGAAATAAAGAAAAGGAAGAAGGAGGTGGGACTTGACATGGAAAAGATGTAATATTCAGATTGTTGGTTAGGCCAAAAACAATATGTTGCTTCCATTTTTCATTAGAGCAGATGGCAAAGTGGTTAGAAACCTGGCAGATGCAATGGAAATGCAGAAATGGGAGCAGCAGACTGGTGAGCAGAGGGCATGAGGAAAGCTGGCAAATCATCACATAATGGTATTTCTACCCAGGATGGAATGCTAATTCCAGAAGAGGACAGGCAGGCCACCGTTATCAGCCGTTGCTATCAATCTGCCATAATCTGAACTAGCACTAAAATCAGAAATATGTGCAGGAAGATGAGTATGGTCTCATCTATATTTTGTGTATCAAATTACAGAATAAATGAGTAACACATACAAATTGGGAGTGTGCAATTCCCTTGAGGCAGTGGACTGAAACTTACCTTCCCCCCCCCCCCCAAAAAAAAATAATCCAAAAGAATGGCCAGTGCTGTGTTGAGATAATCTGAATGAGCAAGGCCTTACTTTTGAGTCTGGCTGTTAAGGGAGAGGACAGAATGAGTATGAGAATGAGTATGTTAGGCTTGCCTTTTAACCAGGAATGAAATCCAGCAGGTTCTGACAGGTTCTGGAGAACCAGCAGCGGAAATTTTGAGTAGTTTGGAGAACTGGCAAATACCACCTCTGGCTGACCCCAGAGTGGGGTTGGAATGGAGATTTTGCAGTATCCTTCCCCTACCAAGCCCACCAAACCACACCACGCCCACCAAGCCATGTCCACAGAACTGGTAGTAAAAAAAAATGGATTTCACCACTGCTTTTAACCCTCCTAAAAGGGCCCCACAAAATGATCCCAACTCTATTTGGGGAATTGGAAAGGGCTGCTGGAGAACCTCATACATAGCAGGTGATTAAAAACTGATTATTACATGAACATTCCAGAAGCATCTAGTGGCCACTGTGTGAAACAAAAACATCTAAACCAGGATTACAAAAAGTGTGCCCTAGCCTTAACAGCAGCTGAGAAACATCGGGGCAAAAAGACTCAAATGAATGGTGGAGAAAAGACCTGTTAATAGATAGCGTTAATTATAGACTTTTTGGAAATGACTTTATTACAGATTTGGTTTTCTTTTTCTATTTTTCTGGTTATTTCTTGTGGCTAAATGAGATTGGATTATGTTTGAGAGAGAGGAAGGAGAAGAGGAAATAAATATGCTTTTAAAAGTAAAGATAAAAGACAAACGGAGATGGAAAAGACGGCTGCCAGCTGAAAAATGAAAGTGTAAATTCCAGACTGCTTGTTACTTGAAAAAGAAACTTTGTTGCTTGTTACTTAAAGTGGAATATTTTGAGAAAAATTTCAAGAGGCTTGACTTTGGACATATAACCTGTGTATTGGAGGATATTGAAGACCAGAAAGAAGAAATTAAATGGAATAATGAAAGCTGATTTATTAAGCGTGACAACAAGAGAAAAAGGACGTGGCAACAAAAGAAGAACATGTTGATACCATATATGGAATAGTCAATTCAGAATTAACTTTATAGAACTTATAACTTTGAGGACATTGAAATGGAAAATAAATATACTCGGATAGATTGGAGAAGGAAAAAAAATGGAATAACGAAATACCATAGTTTGAATTAAATGAATGTAATGGTGTCTGGGAGTTTGATCTTTGAATAATTTTAGGAGATACCTTCCTTCTTCTCTGGGCTCTCTCTCAATACTATTTTATTTTATTTTATTATTTTATTTTATTTTATTTTATTTTATTTTATTTTATTTTATTTTATTTTATTTTATTTTATTTTTTTATTTTATTTTATTTTATTTTATTTTATTTTATTATTTATTTTATTTTATTATTTTATTTTATTTTATTTTATTTTATTTTATTTTATTTTATTTCCTTTTTCTTTTTTTCTTTTGTCCCGTTCCCCCTTCTATTTTTTCTAATTCTCTTTTCAATTTCTTTTGTTATATTTCTATTCTCTTTCCTATTTTTATTCTTGTTTTTTTTTGTTTTTATTTTAACTATTATTAATATTGTTACTATTCTCTCTCTTTTTTCACTATTATTTTTATCTAAGTTGATTTTATGAATATACAACAATTTGACTTGGAAAAAATGAGTATAAATGATTGAAAATTATGACTTTTTGATGTTTTAATACTTTTTTAAACTTGGAATTTTTAAGCTCTATTTACAGACCTAATAATTTAGAAGAAAATGTTCTCTAAGGTGCTGGATATTAAGAAGAATTAATTACAGATTTAATAATTATAGAAAATTGATTTTAAAGTGATTTAAAATGTTGATATTCACTGGAAATAAATATGGCACGGGAGAAAGCCTAGGAGAGAATAGGAGCTAAGATATTTGTCGATATACTTTTTTATTTTTAATCAGTTAAAGACATGGAGGAGAATGGATTTAAAAATGAATATGAGTAATATATTATGAATTAATTTAAAGTTAAATAATTGAATAAGAGAGGTAGAAATGGAGGAAAACCTAAAGCTGGACAATAATTAAAATAAAATGTTATGAATTAGTTAAACAAATGAAGTTAGGAGTGGAGGGAAGCATGATTCTGGAGAACAATGAAAGTAAAGCTGTGGTCTAGTCTTACAAATAAGGTAGGAGTGGAGGAAAGCATCATACTGGAGAACAGTTAAGGCAAAACTGGGAACCAGTTAAAAATAAAAATAAGAGTTAGGAGTGGAGGAAAGCACGGGCTGGAAAACAGCCAAAGGAAAGCTGTGAACCAGCCATTAG